TGCTCAGATGATCGTGATCTAAGAGTAATTCTAAAGAAATTCCATTGAAATGAGATCTCAAGTAACCTGTTGGTTCTGGTCGACTATTCCGTAATAACTCGAAATACAATCGCAATTCCTAGAGACCTGGTTTACCGACATCCATATTCACAAATACTTTCTTATTCTCGTTAACCTCCAATTCTACATGTTTACATGACCCCCTTGATCTGAGTGGTCGACCCGATCCGCAGATTCTCGAATCGTCGTCGCTGTTCCGGCCTCAAGATACAAGTGATCATTGAATAAACCGAGAAGAGAAAACTAAACTTCAGCAGACTCTAACAAAGACTTTATTGAAAACTGGTAAAGCAATACGTGAAGTTAAGCCTCCTCCTAGTAGCCTGCGCTTAGAAATCAACTAGAATCTAGGCGGTTTCGGTTTTTAGGGACGTAAATATTGATTGGTTTGCCCCACGTTCTGGGCGCCATTTTTTTCTTTTTATGTAGTAGACAGCTAGGGTTTTTAGGCCTGCGTTCACTAGGCTATGGATAACCTAGTGTATAGGAAGATTCGGGTTCGTGCACTTCTAGCATTGCTCGGTGCTAAGCTCGTCGGATTGTCGTGGGATCTTCCTAGTCTTCTCTATAACACGCACCGTACTACGCGAAAAAAGTTTTAAGTGCACTAAGCGGTAATCTAAAAGGATCGAACAACAAAATAATGGGTGTAAACGGACTCAAGGCACGCGGACGGACGTTGAAGGCACAAGCGAATCAGGAAACATTAAGAGTTAGGGTGGCTCGATGATATTGCCGCCCCTTTCTGTACCCCCCCTACAATGATAACTTGTGTGAAATTGTTTGCGGTTATCCCTTATTCGATGTTTATTCATTATTCACATTTTTACTTCATATAGCGGCGGCATAGCAAGATCAATCACGATTCCGTGTTACAAATTTATTCAACCATTGTTAAACTATCAACTTCAATTAACAAAAGAAAATTAGAAACTACAATCATGATTTCAATACAACTTAAATTCTTTCATCTTCAAAAATCAAATTTAACTAAAAACGTAACAAGACTCAATCTGACCGAATAATCGTCCGTTTGCTTTGGCACGCATAATCATAATATCATTTATATATATGGGTCAAATGTCAGAAAATCAATATGGTGATAACAATATTTCACTTACGCAAAACTCCGGCGACGCAGGTTCGGTGGGCCCATCGAAGACGCTGTGCAAGGATGCTTTTAAGACAAGTTATCATATTAATTTCTGACAAGTTAAGTTATGTGGAATGTACGGATGGTCATTGTCAGAACTTAAAGAAAAAAATTACTACTAAGTCAATACAAAGGTACGCTACATGAGCTAGTACCGAGAAATTACTCTACATAGATCGAAAGTTAAACTATACAAAAGTTAGCGCCTCCGACAGCTCACTACATACGAAGGGATCTGCGTCTTCGCACGCCAGACAGCGGGTCTGATCAATCGATGCTTTCCTCCAAATACATTCGCCTATGGTGAGGCTTCTCCCATCGGCAAGCCGCACGTGGCGAATACGGGCGAAGTGCCGGGTCTGTTGCTCTCCTTCGAATACATTCGCCTATGGCGAGACTCTTCCCATCGGCAAGCCGCACGTGGCGAATACGGGTGAAGTGCCGGGTCTGCTGCGCTTACAAAACGCCTTCCGAGATACTGCTCACTGGACTAGCCAGAGCTGAGACTTCCTTTGCCGCGCGTGGCGCGTGTGGGTGAGGCGATGTGGGTGTAGTAGCAAAAGTTACATCCGGTATACGTTCACTTCCTTATCCAAGTATGACCACGGCTCCGATCAGTGGTCCAAAAATGACTGATGTACTGGTACCATAACCCTCCAAAATGTCGCTCTATGGCTTAGCCAGAGCTGGGGCGGTGGATGCCCCGCGTGGCGCGTGTGGGTGAGGTTATGCACTAGCCACAGTGGTCACTCAGGTAGACTTCCTTCGATTAGGGCGGTTCTTACAAGGCCGCACGTGGCATGCGGTTGGTGGGATGCCGGGCCAGAGATTTACGCCGTTCGCGGCAATCTGTAGCCTCGGTCACCTTCCAGAATTTTCGCGCCTTTGCTGATCGCAGGGGGGCACCTAGCGCGTCACGTGTCCGCAGGTGGCAACCCTGCCGTGGCAGGTTGGCTTGAACTGACACCCAGAAAAAAAGTCTCGTCTTGGCCGACCGGTTGCGAAATTAAAAACGGTGTAATCACGCCGCGCTGGCGCTGATGTTGCCGTCCGGCTTCGGCAGAACCTCCTTTCTTTTCCTATTACAAAAAAAAATACATAGAAATACACGCCACTTAATAGCCTGCCTGTGCGGTTAAATTTGTGCGTTCTTATTTACCAGTAGTTGGGTGTAAAATTATATATGATCCTCCTGTTAGCTTAGACTTGGCTGGTGCACACACACTTAGACAGAATTCGAACCGCGTGGGTTGTAATTTTCCGTTTGTATTCTACTTACGGCAGCAGCCTTGCGTCCGTTTTCATTCAAAGTTTTAAACGAAGTGAACGAGAACTCTTGACGCGAGAAGCTGGCTGTACGCTGCGGCGTTGCTAAGCACACCTAACGGGATCTTTCCAGATTCTGTTCTCCTTTCTGCCTTCACACGTTTTCGGTGCGCGCGAGAAAGAGAGGCTGTTATGCTGACAGACTATACGTGTAAGCGGGTCAGCTAGACGATATTCGCTGCTCTCTGCTATACTCTACGTTAAGCTGTTAGACATATGCGAATTTACATGCAAAATGACTTTACTTTAAATTCTCCCAAAAGTTTCTATTTCCATTTACGACTGGCCCCCACAGTTTCGGCGAAGATCCAAGTTCAGCTGAGTGACGTATTTTCCATAAGTATGAATGACTGTCTGGTTCGCTGCGTACAGTGTCAAATCGCTAAGAGTAGTTTTTTGTCTAACCAGCGTTCGTGGTATGACGGAAACTACAGATCCAGAATCAACGAGGAAGCGGATGTGAGATGTGCGATCGGTGACGTGTAGGCGCTGCTCCTGTGGAACAGCTAGCTGAACTGTAGGCTCGCTGGTTATATTCGTGCTGCCGCCGACCAGCGTGTCGGGCGACAGCTCCTTTAGTTTAACGACGAGGTGCGGGAACATGGAGGGCGGCACTTTTGAGCGTTTTCCCCAAATCGATCGTGGTAGAAGCAAAGCTTCTCTTGAGGCACAGATACCTGTTGATTCGAATTTTCAGTTTGTACGTGGCCACGCGATGAACTGCGTGAGCGTCCTTGGAATTGGAGACGTTTGACATCCTTTTGCAATACGTCAAACTTCTGTGACAGCGAACGCAAGTTGTCGTTGATCTTTTTCCAGGGGTCTTCGGTGGAAGTTGCGCAAACAGGTGGGGCCGCTGCAGTCGAGTTATTCGTGCTGATCGCAAAAGTGGCGTTGTGGTTTACCGCTTCGAGCATCTTGTCTGCGATCTTAGCGAGCTTATAAAAGTCCGTCTCTTCCCAGACTGTAAGAGTGGGGCGAATTGACGCCGGCATCTCTGCCAGGAAAAGAGTAAGAATGATGTTCTCGCTGCCCGGGTCCGGAGCTAGTCGTCGCATGTTGGCCAGGATCTCAGATGGTTTTAGACCAGAAGTCGGCGCAGTTTTGACTCTGGAGATTCCGCAAATTTTTGTAGTAAACGATTTTTAATTGCTACGTACTTGTTTTCGTTGGGTGGTCGAATGACTAAGTCTTCCACTGCCAAAACTACATCCTCCTCCAGGTGAAGGGTCACAAGGTCGAACTTGTCGGTGTCGTCGATAATCTGGTGCAATCGAAATGACCGCTCCACTTGCGCAAATCGTAGTTGAGGGTTGCTATGTGCGAATTTTGGCAAGTGGACAGTCGCACGTGTGTGTGTGCGAGTAGTCTCATCCCGGTTGCCAGGTGCATTTGTCCGAAGTGCCTCGAGATGCTGCTGCAGATCTCGGACTTGAGCAGTTAAATAAGGATTTGAATCCGGCATGATGAATGGAAAATCGGAGCGATCGCTTTCTTCGTCGAAATTTAGCCGCCTACCTTTTATTTTTCGCAAATCGTATTGGCGTCTTGTTATTCAGTACGCAAATTCTTAATTGTGAACGTGTGTGTCAATTTCGTAGAATAAGTAACTTTTACTATGATTTTACTTTCCGGGGTCACCACTATGGCGAAGTATGTTTGCCATTAAAGTTTTATTCAGATTAAGAACTACAAAGTTTATTAATATTATCAAGACACGTGTGTCGCTCGCTGAATCTTGCCGATAAATCTCCGAGTGTTGCCACACCATTCTTTCTAGTCATCTGGCAAGCTTCTGTTGGCGCTGCTGCCATATTAGGTTGCCACAGTGTTTTAGTGAAAAAAGCAGATTTGCTTTAAGCATATCTCCATCCCTCTCCCACTCCCTTAAGCTGAGTAACGGGTATTTAATAGTTGAGGCCATCGACTATAGCGTTTTCTTTTGTTTTAAGAGTACAGTTACATTTGAATTGCATTATTGTCAAATTTCAACATTTCTTAAAGAAAAAATCAATAATTTTCACATTTGGATAAAGTTTTAGTGTGTATTTATCAGTTCGTCACCCTACAACTATTAGAAGTGAAACATTTTTGGCTTACGCCAAGAGCTGTAGTACTTAACTCCGCTGGAATTTTACCATCGAACTTTTACAGGAATATGCTCAATAGATGTCGGCAACTTTCTGTTTTTAAACTTTTAAAATATATTAATTTTTGGAAAAATGGCAATCAAAAAACGAGTCGTTCATACCCTACACTCCCCTACACTAAAAGTTAATAAAAAATATATGTCCAAAATAAATCGGTCTTGCCGTAAACCAAAAAATTGGCTATCGAAGGATACAAAAACAAATTAAGTTATGGGTTTTAGGTGGCAGCCCTGTTCCTAAGATATGATGAGCTAGTAGGCCATTCGTTTTCCTGTGACAGCTGAATTATTGCAATCGGAACTTTTCGACAACGTCAAGCTCTAGCGCCTTTCTATAAAAAGTAAAAAAATCTATACAATTTCGGCATATTCAGTTAGCCACAGCCATGGCCCCAAAGAAACGCATTTCGATGATCGCACCGGGGAGTGTGGTACCGGTAGTGCAGACGACCGAGACCGCGTCCCGGCGTTCAGTTGGCACCCAAACGAATGTCCTGGCAATGGGTCCGTCGAAGCGCAAGAAGATGAATGCCTTGCAGATACCGCCGTCCCAACATTTGGCCACGCACCTGATGCCGGCGGTCAATTCGCAGGCAGAACCGTTGGCCGCTTCCATCATGATATGTAAACAACCGGCGGCTTGCCCACCGTTTGTTCCCGATTTGAATGAGAAGGCCTGCCAGGCGGTGGACGACGGTACTCTGGATTCAGCCGACCGTGTGATCATCCCGAATAACGGCGAGCAACCGATTGAATATCTGAAGTCCCTGATGACCAATCGAAGCGAAAATGCCGAACACTGGGATCGTAAACGTCTGGAAACTCTGTTGACCCTAATCAACGACAATCCACCGCCGAATTGGCTTCTGGCATCCCAAATGTGGCTGGAGGTCGACCAACTGGAGGAGCGTATAGAGGCCTACGATCAGAGGGAACTGCTCAATGCTAAGAAACCTAAGATGGACGAGGAGCTGGCCAATGGTCAATACGGGGGGCAGAACGGGCAGCAGGGTGAGCAGCAGAACAAAGAGGTTCATCACCCTTCACCAAAGACTTAGGACTTAGGAAATCGAGCCATATGTTCTATGCATAATTGTTCATATTACATCAGCAAAATAATATATAACACATCCATTGAATGTAAAATGAGCTTATTTACGGACTCTCTTGTATTGTCATAAAGGGAGCGCAAGGGAGATGGAGAATGCAAGCAGCAAAGCGACTTTTTTCGAGATTTCAGGGAGTCACCTAGCGGTGATGACTTGAACAATTTTTATGTAAATGGGCAAACAAAACTAAGTTCCATTTTCACCTTTACAAAATCTTTAAAACGGGGGGAACAGTCGGACTTAAGCGTTAATAGCGTTTGTGGGTGAACCAAACTTTTTCAAGGTCAATCGATAGGCACTCTTTTTCAAAATCGCACAGCTTATTACCTACACAGGCATATGCCTGTGGCACAGGCGTGCCAAATGAGAAAAATTTAGAAAGTGCATTTATTTAGTAGATCGTATAGTACATTTTCGTCACGAAAGTTGAGATTAGAACCTTTGTATGTTGAAGGTGCGAATGTCTCTAGTTTTTTACTTCGTTAAGGTGTTTTTGTTTGATATTACAAGTTTTTGAAAAGTGAAGCCCGTTACTCGTGGAGTAAAAGGGTATACTAGGTTAACGTTGGAGGAAAATGAACTTGCGCTGCTCAAGAAGCTCAAGAATATACATACATGCCAAGACCCAACGTTCTAGCCTTTATAGTTTCCGAGATCTCAGCGTACGGACGGACCGACAGACGGAAATGGAAAGATCGACTTAACTAGTAATCCTGATCAGGAATATATATTATTTATAGTGTAGCGCTTGCTTAAGCAGAAGTGGCTCATAGAGATATGGCGAAGTATGTTTGCCATTAAAGTTTTATTCAGATTAAGAACTACAAAGTTTATTAATATTATCAAGACACGTGTGTCGCTCGCTGATTCGTGCCGATAAATCTCTGAGAGTTGCCACACCATTCTTTCTAGTCATCTGGCAAGCTTCTGTTGGCGCTGCTGCCATATTAGGTTGCCACAGTACTCCCCCTCCAGTGAACGCGTCACGAGTCCTGGTTTGAAAATTTAACTCCATGTTTTCTCTCATAAGTCCTGGTCAGTCTAGGGGTAACTTCTTCTGAATCCAACTGGCAGTCGTCCTTTACTAAAAATGCTGGTTTGAGGCGATCAACTGATACTGCAGTCTCATGGCCATTGAGTCTGATAGTGAAAACACGATCGTTTTCGCGTCGGACAATCTCATGAGGACCAGTGTAAGGGGCTTCCAGAGGCTGTTTTACGGCGTCAGTGCGGAGAAATACATGCGTACATTTATCGATCCCTTTCAATACGAACATCTTCTGCTTGATATGACGTGCTGTTGATGTCGGTCGCACTTTTTGCATGTGCTCTCGAAAGATACTCAAAAAAGAGGTGGGGTCAACCGTGTCGTCCAAGTCGGTAAAAAACTCATTTGGCAGTCGAATAGGTGTTCCGTATACCATTTCTGAGGCTGAAGATTTGATGTCCTCCTTGTAACAGGTACGAAGTCCAAGCAAAACTGTTGGCAGTAACTCCGGCCACGGAGTACCTCTGTTGCACATCAAAGATGACTTAAAGGATCTGTGCCACCTCTCTATGAGTCCGTTTGACTGAGGATGGTAGGCCGTCGTGTGTATGTGTTTACTTCCAACCAGATTAGCAAGATGTTTGAAAACTGCTGACTCAAATTGTGTTCCTTGGTCCGTAGTTATCGTTTTTGGAGAACCAAATCGAGATATCCAGTGAGTCCAGAACGCCGTAGCTATTGTCTCAGCAGTAATATTTGAGAGAGGTACAGCTTCTGGCCATCGCGTAAATCTATCAATCATCGTCAGACAGTACCGATAGTTTTGTTGTAATGGCATAACTACAATGTCAAGGTGAACGTGGTCAAATCTACCATTTGGCACTTCGATCTTTTCTGGTAAGAGGTGGTTGTGTTTGTGGATCTTAGAGCGCTGACAAGGTAGACAAACTCTGCACCATTCGAGGACATTTTTATTCATCGAGGGCCATACAAACTTTTGGCGCACTTGACGAACTGTTGACCGACCACTGGGATGAGACAAACCGTGAACGAACGAAAACACAGCATTGCGCAAAGATTTGGGTACATAAGGACGAACGCTTCCTGTAGAAACATCGCAGTAGAGTGAGGTGTTGTCATCAAATCGAACCCTTTGAAGTTTTAAAGATGTGGTTCCTTTTAAAAGGTGTACCAGTTCAGGATCTGACGCTTGCTCCTCTTCAATTTGCGATAATTTTATGCCAGTCGGCATTGTTATAGAGCATAATCTTGAAAAAGCGTCTGCGACTGCATTCTCGGATCCTTTCACATGCATAATAGTCGTGCAGAATTGAGAGATGTAAGCCAAATGTCGTAGCTGTCTCGGTGATGCTTTCTCTGGTCGCTGCTGAAATGCGTACACGAGCGGCTTGTGATCCGTTCTGATGACAAAAATGCGCCCGTCAACAAGATGTTTGAAATATTTAATGGATTCGAAGATAGCGAGCAGTTCTCGGTCGTAGGTTGAGTAATTTTTCTCCGTGTTGCTCAGCTTCTTTGAGAAAAATCCTAGAGGTTGCCAATTTCCGTGTGTACGCTGCTCCAAAACTGCTCCAATTGCGAAATCGGAAGCATCGCAAACCAGCTGAAGTTCAGATTTTGGTGCGGGAAAAGACAAGAGGGCTGCGTCTGCTATGCTTTGTTTGCAAGCTTCAAAAGCTGCATGGAGCTCTGATGTCCATTCAATTTTACGTTGATCATTTTTTTTAACATCCTTTAGCAACTCAGTGAGCGGCGCTTGTATGTGTGATGATCGAGCCAAACATCTGCGATAGTAATTTATAACGCCCAAGAAACGACCAAGTTGGCTTATGGTTTCAGGACGTGCATAATTAAGAATGGCATCTATGCGTTCGGTGGGTGGTTTAATTCCAAATTCATTGATCGTATAGCTGAGAAAGTTTACTTGAGATTGCGCAAACTGGCATTTGGTCAGATTGATGCTTAGGCCATGTTTCTGAAGTACTTGCAAGACAGCCCGAAGATGTTCTTCGTGTTCAGCGATGGAAAGCGACGTTATAAGTATGTCGTCAATGTAGCAATAAACGAAGTCCATGCCGCGAAAGATGTTGTCCATAAAGCGTTGAAATGTTTGAGTCGCGTTTTTTAACCCAAATGGCATGTATTGAAACTCAATGAGTCCAAAAGGAGTGCACACCGCTGTTTTTTGGATATCGTTTTCTGCCATGGGAATTTGGTAGTATGCTTTAACCAAATCGAGGGTTGAAAAAATCTTCTTTCCTTGCAGTTGCTCCGTGAAGTCGTGTATATGGGCGATTGGGTAGCGATCTGGTATGGTAATTGAATTTAGTTTTCGATAATCTCCACATGCCCGCCAGCCACCGTCTTTTTTGGTAACCATATGTAACGGGCTGGACCAAGGACTTTTTGACGGGCGACATATGCCTTGATCCATCAAGAAGTTTATTTCTCTCTTGGCAGTGACAAGTTTTTCACCGGAGAGGCGTCGTGGTCTATCAGCAACAGGTATTCCATTTGTTTCAATGTAGTGACGCACGTCGTGTTGCGTAGCTGCTTTAATCGATGGCTTTGTCACGTCGACAAATTCACTTAGGAGTTTTTGAAATTTGGACATACACTGCACTGTGGAAACTGATATGTGTTTCGCTTGTGCAAGACATGCTGGTGTCGATAGTCCAGTAACTGAGTCGATCAAGCGTTGGTTTTTAAGATCAATGAGCAATTGGAATTTGCTTAAAAAGTCAGCCCCAATAATAGCTGTGTGCACGTCAGCGATAATGAACGGCCATGTAAAGTTTCGGTGAAGATCCAAGTTCAGTTGAGTGACGTATTTTCCATAAGTATGAATGACTGTCTGGTTCGCTGCGTACAGTGTCAAATCGCTCAGAGTAGTTTTTTGTCTAACCAGCGTTCGTGGTATGACGGAAACTACAGATCCAGAATCAACGAGGAAGCGGATGTGAGATGTGCGATCGGTGACGTGTAGGCGCTGCTCCTGTGGAACAGCTAGCTGAACTGTAGGCTCGCTGGTTATATTCGTGCTGCCGCCGACCAGCGTGTCGGGCGACAGCTCCTTTAGTTTAACGACGAGGAGCGGGAACATGGAGGGCGGCACTTTTGAGCGTTTTCCCCAAATCGATCGTGGTAGAAGCAAAGCTTCTCTTGAGGCACAGATGCCTGTTGATTCGAATTTCCAGTTTGTACGTGGCCACGCGATGAACTGCGTGAGCGTCCTTGGAATTGGAGACGTTTGACATCCTTTTGCAATACGTCAAACTTCTGTGACAGCGAACGCAAATTGTCGTTGATCTTTTTCCAGGGGTCTTCGGTGGAAGTTGCGCAAACAGGTGGGGCCGCTGCAGTCGAGTTATTCGTGCTGATCGCAAAAGTGGCGTTGTGGTTTACCGCTTCGAGCATCTTGTCTGCGATCTTAGCGAGCTTATCCAAGTCCGTCTCTTCCCAGACTGTAAGAGTGGGTCGAATTGACGCCGGCATCTCTGCCAGGAAAAGAGTAAGAATGATGTTCTCGCTGCCCGGGTCCGGAGCTAGTCGTCGCATGTTGGCCAGGATCTCAGATGGTTTTAGACCAGATGTACCTCCACCCTGCAGAAGTCGGCGCAGTTTCGACTCTGGAGATTCCGCAAATTTTTGTAGTAAGCGATTTTTAATTGCTACGTACTTGTTTTCGTTGGGTGGTCGAATGACTAAGTCTTCCACTGCCAAAACTACATCCTCCTCCAGGTGAAGGGTCACAAGGTCGAACTTGTCGGTGTCGTCGATAATCTGGTGCAATCGAAATGACCGCTCCACTTGCGCAAACCATAGTTGAGGGTTGCTATGTGCGAATTTTGGCAAGTGGACAGTCGCACGTGTGTGTGTGCGTGTAGTCTCATCCCGGTTGCCAGGTGCATTTGTCCGAAATGCCTCGAGTTGCTGCTGCAGATCTCGGACTTGAGCAGTTAAATCAGGATTTGAA